GAAGAATGTGACGCTGGCTGCTATGAATACATTTATGATTTGTTCCTCTAAATTCATGTGGCATACATTTAGGCGATTGCTTCAGCTCAGGCAGTCTGCGAATTTAACTTTTGTGCACCAGAATCGGTTGTGGGTTCCAGTCAAGAGGAAAAGCGAAAATTTTTTGAAGTTTTCTGGGACAGCGGTGTCGCCCGTATTGGCGACGAAGGCGCTGAAGGTTCTTAAGTTTTTTTTTCATCAATCATCTTGTTTTGCCAAATGATTAGTAAAGATTTTTCACTTATTTTTATTGTTCTCCTCTCTACCACTCCTGTGTTTCTTCCACGTTTACAACATTAGCTTATCTGGTGGGTGGGTGCACTGTGCTAGCATGCTGCGCCTCACAATTCACAAAACAAGCCGTGCCAGTGTATGCAACTTTGAGAAGAAAAGCAGATAGTTTCCAGGTATTTTTTGCACTAGTACCATCGCTGCACCGGCATTTCTTCATATCTGTGATTTTCCGCAATCTTTAGCACGATGTAACTTGTAACTTTGGCAAACATTTGATTAGTACGTTAATATTGTCGGATTAATTTGTTACTTTTAACTCTCCCTCCTTTTGCTTCATTTTTTTAATATTTGCATTTGTTCGTTGTAATACTTCTGTCATCGTCGTAATATTTTTGCGCAGGTTGGTCAAATTCCATCGAACGCATAAAAGAAGGAAAAGTGACAACGGACATTTCACTCTGTGAGATAGAGCAAGCCGAATACGAGAAAGCAGAAGCGGAATTATGCGATAGGGTTGGCTCAAAAGGCTTGAAACTGCCGTATCGCCTGGTGTGGATTGAGATTGAGAAACTGCGCAACGAATATCAATGGAGGCCAATTAGAGATTTGGGCGCAACGGTATGTATTATTAATCACAGTTATGTGCTCCTTTTTACTTGGTGTCAAAGCTGAAGAAGTTGCGTAACGTGTGACGAATTGCAGTTTGATGACAGAGAACGCGCTGTTACATACCAGGATATTGAAGATGTGTTGTATACATTCTCCAGGCCGGTCGCCATCAAACTTCTCTTCAGTATTCTGGAAGAGTTTGGCGCGATTATATATGGACAGGTTCGTGCTCAGTTTTAATTGCTTCAAACGAATACTGTGACTAACCGCATCTCCTCACCGTCCGTTCTCGGGTCGTGCATCGAGAAGTGTTGTTCCAATCCCACTTTTCCGTTTATTGTCAAAGCACTCCGAAAATTATCAATTAAAGTTTGATATCATCTTCTGGCAACAACTTGATGCCGTGATTAGTTATCCCCTTTGTGCTGATTCCCTCCGTCACAATACGAAAAAAAAGAAAGTGCTGAAAAAGATCCCATCTCATTTTCTCTTTATATTAGTAAAATCTGCGACATTATGGTGATTGTGCGGTCCCATGTCAGGCGCATGTATATCGGGCAGTATCTTTCTGAGCTGCATGCTCATATTAGAGCTCATTATCGTTTCTTTGGACGTTTTCTTCACGCTGACCCCATTGGCTAATATGTGACATCTATCATTTATCAGTAAAGTTTGCATGTTATCCTTTCAATAAGCAATGCTGTGTTGCGCGAAATTGGCAGGAACTTTTCGTACAATCTTCCATCAAAACTGCTTGGTCGAAATGAAATTGTGGAGCGCCTCGAAATAACCAAAACTTATTCTGATAAACGGCTTATGAAACAAGCGGGAATTTAGGGTTACTTTGATATGCGGTTACTTCCTTGAGGACTTTTAATCTCGTTGAAGATGAAAGTTGTGAAGTTGAATCTCTCGTACCCTTTTCACAGGAAGGCGGGAATGTTGCAAATACGAATTGACTTATGTTGACAGGTTTCTTATAAAATGTACTTGAGTACTTCTTGAAGTAGCTGGAATTCATTTTTATGTGTTTTATGATGTGTAACAGCAGTACAAAACGCATATTGCCACGGGTTTGTGTCTGTGTCCGCAGTAACCTGTCCGCAACTTTCAACTCGGGAATCACAAAGGCTAGGAAGCCGAAAATTTAGGGTGATGTTCTCCATCCACGTGTGACCCCGCAAGTTTAAATTCAGTCTCCCCCTACTCGCGGGCAGCATGTACAGCCCCGTAAAAGTTTTGGTGGGGAAAATATTATCTCGAGAACCAGGGAAGCTAGGAAGATAAAGTTTTATCGGTATATCCGCTGCCCATTTGCGACCCAGAAAATTTAAATTCAGCGTTCTCACGCTTTCGGGCATCACCTACCGCCCGGTGAGATTTTGGCGGGTAAATTATTATCTCGAAAACCGTGGAATCTAGGAAGCTGAAATTTTGGGGGACTACACCCTGTCTCCGTGCAACCCCTCAAACACTGGCAGGCAGTCGTTCGGTGGACGGAATTGCACAAAAACGCATGATCACACTGGCTGCCCTCGTCGCGGTTGGTTTTTCCACTGTGCATCTGTCGCTTCATCAGTTGCTTTCTCCAATGCTACATCGTTTGCTTGCTCTCGTTTGTTCTTCTCTGCGACTGCCAAGAGACGCGGAGTGAGAGGTATGCGTTTTTGCGATGCAGTGCCACTGTCGCGACATTTAGCGAATTACGTATATTTGTGAATATTAATGTGTGTATGCTTGTTTGTACGTACACTTCATATATGTCTGTCTGTTGGGGCATTTCAGCTCAGCAGCCAAGTGAGCTTAGGTGCTGTAGTTTTGCCAGTGTGCTCCCTGGCCAAGTGTAATCCCAGATGCGTAATTTCAGCTTTCACGCGTTCGCCTTGTTCCCCCCCCCCCCCCCCCCCCCCCCCCCCCCCC